CTCCGTCTCCTCCCCAACTCCTCACAATGGTTATTTTCCCTGGGATCCAATAAATTAAAAATGGATGGCGGCTCCGGAAGTGTTGTGCTGTGTGGAGTACGTGTGTCAGGGTGTTTCGGTGTCACCCGGAGGACTGGAATCACCTCTGCCTGTCCCCGGGAAGCTGGGGCTTGCTGGCAAACGTGCCGGCTGTGTTCGTGGGGAGCAGGTGCGGTCTCCAGTCCAGGCAGCGCTCGGGTGGATGGATGTGCGTGTGTCTTGTAAGCACACATACACATCACGGTGGGGGCTGTGACGTGCGTGGCACACGATTTTTGAGAGCCTGGCGTCCTTCCCTCCACTCTCACCACCCTCATCATGGAACTAATAATTCCGCCTCTGTGTCTCCTGGACTGCGAGTTCATCAGTGTGGTGGAGGAACAGGAGCTCGCATGCTGGGGAGGCACCCATATGTGTGCCCCTGTGCGTGTGTGCCTGCCTCTGCGTGCCAGTCCTGTGCACACAGCACACGTGTTATGTTCTGCACTTGGGACAGCAGGTGGCTGGCCTTTGGGCTGGAATTCCCCTAAGAAGGGCCGGTGCAGGGAGGTGGCTGGAGATGCACCTGGGTGGGCGGGGCGCTCACGAGTGGGGCCCTTGCTGGCCAGGTGAGGGCCTCTTACGCCCTAATGGCCATTGGGGTTTGAAGATGGTTCGGCTGGGCTGGTGTGAAGCATGCTCTCCCGTTTCTGTCTTGTGCCCTGATCCCATCCCTTGCCCGTGGGAGACATGGGGAAGTTTGTCTCGAGATCAGGCGCCTTCGTGGTCCAGAACGAGGATGTCGGTGATTATTTGGGAAGCCTGGTTGCATGGCTTCGCAAGGCGCTTACCAGCTGGGAGGAGGCTAGCCTTGTAAATAAAATGTGGTTTTGTTGTAAAAGAAAAAGTGTGTGTGTGTGAATATATATTTGCTCATGCACTTTAGGATTTAATATTTCAGAACTCTCCCTGGTCCTCTGACATTTGAGCTCGTGGCTGGCCGTATCCATTCACTTTCCCTCTTAACGAGTGGAGTGAAGCTTCTCCGCACTCCCCTCCCTCCTACCCAGAGAGCAGTGAGATTCTGCTGGGCTCCCGGCACCTGGGGAGCTCTATCCAGAAAGCCCTTTTCTCAGAGGAAGATGCGAGGCTGTGGGACCAGGCTGTGGGAGGGGCCGGTGAGGGGGGGGGTTGCTTTTATTTGTCTTGCCTCTCCTTGCTGGGTGGCAGTTGGGACGCTTGCTCTGCCTGTCAGAGCAGAGGCCTGGCTGGGGGCAGCGTGGCACAGAGCTGCAGGATTGTTCTCCGGAGCCCACAGAGGAAGGCCCGGAGGACCACACACCTCCGTGCCCGGGCTGGGCCAAGTGGCTCTTTCTCATTTTTTATTTATTTTTTGTTATTGATATAGTTCTAAGAAGACACACACACACACACCCCTACATGCCCAGCCCAGTATCCGCCCGCCAGCGGAAATGAAACCACAATCGTTGGGGGTGTCTCTGAAGACCACACACCTTAGCCTAGAGGCCTACTCGGCTCCCTTGGTCCACCCATCTATGACCCAGAAGTTGGGTGACTTTGGGACTCAGGAAGACTCCGCTGCCTAAATACTCTGTGTGTGTGTGTGTGTGTGTGTGTGTGTGAGAGAGAGAGAGAGAGAGAGAGAGAGAGAAATGGCAAGCCATCATCTTTGGCCCTGTCTCTTGCCCTAGGCCACAGCTCAGAGCCCCACAGCCTGGGGTCGAACGAGGAAACCCCCGTTCTTTCGAGGTGACAGGCTGAGCCACTCACTGCTCACACAAATTTACTTCCAGTGCTGAAAATGGGAGGGGAAGGAGGCATCCCCTTCCTTTACCATCCAGTTTCCTGAGGGACAGGAGTTTCATCTTGGTTTGTGTGTGGGAGCTAGAGATGTAGAGTCGTGGTGCTGTCTGCTATCTGTCTGTCCCCTGGTTGGCCGGCCATGAGGGATACTAAGGCGCAGTCAGAACCGTGGCTTAGTAGACAGGGTTGAAGAACTTCAGTTACTGGGTGCATAAGGCCGGCTACGTGGGGAGAGTTAAAGACAGAAGCTGCCAGAAAGAGAAGAACAGATGTTACAAAAAAGAAAGGGAGGAAAAAGGAAGAAGATAGCAGGAGGGGGAACAGTGCTAGTTTGGAGTCTCGTAGGCTCGGAGGAATAGGGTTGCTTGTGAACTGGCATCTGTGACCTTTGCTAATTTTTCAATGAGCCTGTGATTCTTCTGAATTAGAAAATGAATTTGGAATTTTGTAGCTTCAGATCTCCTCGCAGAAGGAAAGGGGGAATTCCTCACGCTGGCCATCAGCCTGCTGGGAGGGAAGACCGATTCAACTGAGAAAGTTAATTAAAAAAAAATGGAAAAAGTCATCCTCAGGTTCAATGACAAGACAAGGATCCCCCACCCTGGCCCTTAAGAAGGGACAGGGGGTGGGTTGAAAATGTGGATTTGTTGCTTTTTTATTTTTATTTTATTTTAACCCAATCTGTGCATGGGGCATTTTGCCAGGCCTGCTCAGGGCTGGTATTTAAGACTCTACCAGGTACTGTGTCTGAGCCCTGCTTGGATTGAATTCTCAATTTCATTTTGTAATTCTCCCCCCTCACCCATTTTTTCTTTTTTCTTTTTAACTTTTCAGCTCATTTCCTTTGTGCCTTTTTTTTAAAAAGCAAAACAATATTTTGACATCCTCCTCCCATTTATTAACTCTCCTTCTCTAGAAATGGTGCACAATACACCCTTATATTTCTAAAGAACTTTTTCAGGGACTTCTCCTTTTGGCTCTGGAATTATGTATATGTAATTGGTAATTAAAGGTGCGAGCTTTTCAATATAAACAGTATTGCTCAATGTTAGATCATTAAAGGGAAGAGAGGCACCGAATAATTACCTTTTACGTTCTGACAAACTGTTCACGGAGAAGCCAGTGTCTTCCCTCCAACCGCTGTGCAGTTTTGAAGGTTGTGATTACATTTTAACCATTGTAAAGCATCTTTTCATACAATAAATTGGTAAATTAATTATGTGGCATTGTCTTCAAACTCCTCCTTTAAGTAAACTCCAGTTTCTTTTTAAAGTATAATTAATGGTTTCTGGCTTTCAGAGGATGGTTCTTTACCTTGTTGGGTCTTTTTTTATTTTTATTTTTTTTTTGGTTAAAGATGTGGCAGACTACAGATTTAGGATTTTCTCATCTATGGGATTTTTTTCCCTACATTTAATTCATGGAGAGCGCTGTCTGCCGTTTATTTATTTATTTATTTAAGTACAGGAAGAGATACTCAGGTTGTTAATTCCCTGCTTAGCAATACCTGGACCTCTTCCTATCGGATCACTTTCCACGGAGGTCCACGTTCTACGTCATGAGCTGTAACTATGGGTGTTCGCCCAGACTCCCGTAGGCCCTGAGCAAGTCTGCGTTCAGAAAACACACAGAGCGGTGATTTATATGTAGAATGGGAGACACCACAGAATTTTTTCCCTAAATTATCTGTTCTTTGGCTCCGGCCCGCCAGTAACTTCACCGCCCCGGAATGCATTTTCTGCCCTTCCATTCCTTCTCCCTGCTCTTCTAGTGGTTTTCATATCCTCTGCTGAATCTCGAGTAGCTTCGAATTTACCTGTGCGGCCCCATGTCAGACCTCTGCTGCTCCTTGCTTCTCTGGTGACCCCGCTGCTTCTGACTTCTGACGTTTGGCCAAAAAAAAAAAAAAGAAATAATAAAACAACAACAACAACAAAACATTCCAGCCTTTACTCAGACCCCAAGGGGAATAGGAAAGCCCAGGATGCTATTTCCCTTTATTTATGACAGTCTCTCTGCCTGTTTCCCCAATTTCCCCTGGAGGAGGTGGCTGATTTTCTGAGACATTAATTAGCTTCAGAAAACTTGGGTCCTATGCCCCTTACAACAGCAGCAAAAAGGAAAAAAAAATAAAGCAAATATACTGATTGCCCATTGTGAGTGTGGTTTGAAATCTGCCAAGAAATGCTTTTGGATTCAGAAGGATTTTTTTTTCCCCTTTATTTCTGGGAGACAAAAATAAAACCAACCAACAAATAATATAATAATAATAATAAAGGATAGGGAATTGCTGAGCGCTGGGTGACGCTGGCTAGGGTGTAAAGTCTGACTGGGGCAGTGCGTCTGGCAGTAGAAGCTTCCTGTCCCCTTGTATATTCTTTTTTGGAACCTGACACTTGTCCCTGAGCATGTGGGCTTTTTTTCCTTGGGAGGGACTGGCGCTCAGACAACGCCTGTCTGGGTTTCTGTTTTCCAGTTTGGTGCTGGGCCAGGGCTCAGGTAGAGGAATGCGAGTAGGACGCCCATGAATGGTGAGGACAAAACATGAATGAAAGCGTGAGAAGTATATGTGTGTGTGTGTGTGGGGGGGTGGTTAGTAGCTTCAGCCAGAGAGAGCAGGGAGACTCAGCACTGCTGTAGTTCGCTGCTTCCCTGGCCTGCCCTGGCAGGGCATTGAAGTCACCCAACCAGGAAGCCTTTGAAAGACATACAGATGTTTGGGTTTCTAAAAGGGATGGGCCCCCATTGCTGCTCTCTGGGCTTCCCCCTGGGATGCTCTGGAGTTAGAGAGGCATGCCTCTGGTTCCTCATGCCTCCTGATCCCAAGATCGTATGGGGTGCCTGTGCACCTGGGTGTGTTGGAAGAAGTTGCCAGAGCAGGCACTGGGGATGGGGGAGGGCTTGGGCCACCACTGTTTGAGTGAGAATCCCTGGGTGTGTCATGATGCCGCTGCCAGGGCTGCGCTGTGCCCCAGCGGTCAGGGATGGCCAACCCCAAACCATGGGAGGACCTGGAGGGTCTCAGCCTCTGGCAGCAGAAGGGACCTGGCTCTTCTGGGCGGGGGGAAGAAGGGTGGAGGGCGCTTTCATGCTTGTGATCGCCTAAGTCCATCTCTGTCTTCTCTGCCCCTCCCTTCCCTTCTCTTTCCTGTCTCCAGCAGAGGCTGACCATGTGGAAACGGCCATTCTCGATGAAGACGAGGGTCTGGAGATAGAGGAGCCCAGCGGCCTGGGGCTGATGGTGGGTGGCCCCGACCCTGACCTGCTCACCTGTGGCCAGTGTCAGATGAACTTCCCCTTGGGGGACATCCTGGTTTTTATAGAGCACAAGAAGAAGCAGTGTGGTGGCAGCCTGGGTGTCTGCTATGACAAAGGCCTGGACAAGGGCAGCCCGCCACCTTCCTCACGCGCCGAGCTCAGGAAAGTCTCTGAGCCCGTAGAGATTGGGATCCAGGTGACTCCCGATGAAGATGAACACCTGCTCTCACCCACGAAAGGCATCTGCCCCAAGCAGGAGAATATTACAGGTATGGACCGTGTCGCTTACCTGCTCGCTGCTGACGTCACCTTGAGCTCACACCTGCAGTCTGCGTGCTTGCGTTGGTGCGGGGGCAGCTCTGGGCACTTCTGGAATGGTCTCTGGGCAGTCCTCTAGAGGACACAGGCCCGGGGCTCAGGGAGGTTCTCCTGGCCTATGGCTGGGGGCTTTGCTTTATGGTGGGGGGCTGTGATTTGGGGCCCTAGGGCACAGCGCGGAAACCTTCAGCTGCTTGGCCCTCTTTTGGCTGGTGATCGTGGCCCAGTCCCTGGCTGGAGAGTCTGGCAGTGTTGGGCTGGAGTCCTTGTTTCACAAGTCAGAAATGTCAGTTTCTTACCGTAAAAGAGAGCTAAGGTGCGATTTAAGGACAGTTGGTGTGGGGTGGCACCTGGAAGACACTGATGGCTGGGCACACTCAGCTCCTACCACCTTTGTCTGTGAAAAGAGGGAGGGGCCCCGCTCAGCTCAGAGGCTGCTTCTCCTGTTGCCTGCCCCTGAGGGTAGGCGTGGGGAGGGGTCGTGGGAACTTGCCCGTGCTCTGCGCCACTTGGGGGGAGGCTGGCACGCCCCTGTGGCTGGCCCGGACAGCTAGCTGGTCTCACTACCTGAAGAGCAGGTGTGAGGTGTTTGCCCCTGGGCACGGCTTGTGTCCTCCAGCAAGGTGTGTTCATGCCAGGGACTTGGTGTCAGGTCCCACATGTGGCAGGCTGGCGTCTCCCTTGGAACTGCTGCTTGGTGTGCGTGAACCAGAGCGTTTGTCTCTGCTTTATGCTTCTGAGTCCTGCAGGTCGGAGGAACCGAGGTGGGGGGGAACTCGCAGGCTATTTTGAAGCCAGATCCTAGGGATCTGAGTTCGAATCCTGCTGGTGCCCTTTGAGTGAGCTTCAGTTTTCCCCCTGTCAACAGGGTGTATAATCCCAGTAGCCCTGGCATGAGGATGAATAGGTAGGCTTTGCTCTCAGGGGTTGCCTTTGGCTCAAGTAGGTGGCTGGCTGGGCAAATGGGTGGTGGTCTTGGAGGCTGTCAAGGGCTCTGGAAGAGACTGAGGCCTAGGATGTGAGGTGGGAAGGCCCGGGTGGGGATCTCCATTACCTGGGAGTCAGCTAGGATAAGGCAGCAAGGGCTGTCTCCATCCTGGGGTGGCTTTGTGACTTTGGGACAGTGGGTTGCCCACGGAGATTAATGAGATAGACTCGTCTGCCCCATACTGACTTCTGTTCTTGCCTTTTTCTCCTTTTTTTTTTTTTGTTCTCTCCTGCTGGTACTAGAACTTGAACTCAGGGCCTGACACCCTTGCTCAGCTTTTTTTGCTCAACCACTCAAGCCATAACTTCACTTCTGGCTTTTTGGTGGCTAATTGGAGATAAGAGTCTCATAGTCCTTTCTGCCTAGAATGGCTTTGAACCTCCGATCCTCACATCTGAGCTTTCTGAGTAGCTAGGATTATTCGTTTGAGCCACCCGTGTCTGGCAGCGCCTTGCCCTAGGATGGATGCCCTGGGGTGGATTCTCTCACTTCTTCCGTGATGGCAGCCTGGAGAATGATCCCCAGCGCCTCTCCCTGCACTACGTGGGGCCAGTCAGGGGGGCAGGCCGCAGGGCTCCCGGCCTATGCTGCTCCATACAGGAGTAGAGTTCAGAAAGCTCCAAGTCCCTCAGTATGTTCTTATGCTCAGCTTCCAGGCTTCTGTTCTGCCCCAACACCCCCTCCCCATCCCAAATCCTTATTTCACACAGAAGCCATTTCCCAATGAGAGAACGTCGATCTCCATGTGGTTTATTTAAGAACTCCACTAGATGGGATTTTATAAAAGACAGAGTCAATCTCCAAATGGCTTTGTCCTCATCCCCTGGCCACCCCTCTGGTCCCCCAGTTTTTGTTCTTTGTTTTTCTCTCTCTCCCTATTTGGGTAGTAATGTGCTATAACTGATGGTATTTTTATTTATGAGTGATGAGAAAATCTCCTTGGTCCTTCTACTCAGCAATTGGACGAATGGGTTTTTTTTCCCAGCCCAGAAGATATATGTAAAAAATCCCTTAGAACTCTAAAGAGATATGTTTGTTCAAAGCATTTAAAATGTTGTTTTAATCAAAGGCACAAAACACAGTCTACATGCTGTGTCAGCTACAGAAGAGTATTTCTTCCTAACAACCATCACCGCCTTACTTTCTAGTTCCTGTTCTGTCTCCCTGCCTACTTTAGGTACCAACTTTTCTTTCTTTCTTTCCCTTTTTAAAATTTTAATAAAAAAGGGAAGATTAAAGAATACAACTTCAGTGGCTCAAATGTATAAAGTAATTTAATATGGTAGGAGCATTAATTATTTTAGCTTAATTGAATTCTGAGGACTGCAATCTTTACAGTTTCGTAGACAAGCCCTGTTTATTATTTCTCTGTGTAGATTAACAGTAAAGGAAATACAGATAACTTTCAGTTATTTATTGTAAAATAAATGTGTCAATTCATGTGTAAAGCAAGCTGCTCAAAGATAATTGAGTCTTTATATTTTAAGAGGGGGAACTAGGAATCACAGGCGCTTCTCTGCCCAGGCTTCCGGAAATCTGAACAGCTGTTGTACATACCCTTGGTCTCCCCGGGCCCTGAACTCCTGGCCTGGGGTTCCAGGGCATCCTCCAGCGTCCACTCTCCCCCAGGCCTCACCGATCTGGGCAGTAGCTGGCAATGGGTGGCTGGTGGTTCTTAGGGACTCTTGTCTCTGGTTTGGGCTACCTGCCTCATCTGATGAGGTGGCCCGGAGGTTCTGCCCGTCCTGAATCCTGCAGACGGTGCTTGGTCCCAGAGGTCCCACCTGGGGTCCTTCTAGAAGTGGGGATTCACAGATAGATCCCGGGGCTGGCCTGGAAATAGGTGGGTTCCCTCCACCCTCCTGTGTGTTCCTAGAGTGGGGGCAGGGCTGTGTGTAGGCTCCTGACTCAGTCTTTCCCTCACTGTGGTATTCTGGAGATGGGTTCAAAAGTACTGATTATTTAATCCTCTCCGTATTATTATTATTACTGTTATTTTTAGTTAGCGGTAGACCAAGAGGAGCGGGAAGGAAGTTTCTGAAGCTTTGTCTCCTAGAGGATATTCATTCACTCATTCATTCACTTATCCATTCACTCATTCATTTACTCATTCATTCATCATTTACTCATTCATTCAGAGACTAAGCCCCTTCTTCATCCTGGGCATCCAGGCTCATAGACCAGGAGCCTCAAAAGCCGGTGCTGCTTGTGGGGGAGCATCCTCTGGGAGGGAGCTCTGTCTCCGTTGTCATGGGTGCTGTTCACCCTGGGCTTGCTCCCAGCTGGTCTGCAGGGGAGGTCCTGTGGCCAGGGTTGTTGGAGTTAGTCAGAGGTTGGGACTTTGGTTTGGATTCCTGGCTCAGGGACAGGAACATGCTTCTGATAACATCTGCTCAAATGCAGGCCTTGTATTCTCACATTCCCTTTCTGTGGCTTCTCCCCGCCTTGTTGGGTGCTCTGCTGGAACCCCAAGGATTGTGCCATTTGTCTGCCATCCATCTACCCACTCTATTCACCATTTATCCATTTACCCATCTATCCATCCATCCATCCATCCATCCACCCATCCATTCACCATCCATCCATCCATTCACCATCCATTTACCCATCTATCCATCTCCCATCCATCTACCCACTCATCCATTCACCATCCATCCATTTACCCATCTACCCATCCACTATACATCCAATTATCCATCCACCATCCATCTACCCACCCACCCATCCATCCATCCATTCATCATCCATCCATCTACCCATCCATCCATTTGCCATCCATCCATTTATCCACCATCTACCATCCATCTATTCACTATCCATCTACCTACCTGTCTACCATCTATCCATCCATTCACCATCCATCCATCTATCCACCATCCATCCATCTACCCCCCATTTATTCACCATCCATTCATTTACCATTCATCCACCATCCACCCATCTACCAGTATCCATCCATCCACTCATCCATCCATCCATCCATCCATCCATCTTTTTTGTTGTTGTTGTTGTTGGTCATGGGGCTTGAACTCTGGGCCTGGGTGCGGTCCTTCAGCTCTTCAACTGAAGGCTAGCACTCTACCACTTGAGCCACAGCGCCACTTCTGGTTTTCTAGAGGTTTATTGGAGATAAGAGTTTCACAGCTTTTCCTACCCGGGCTGGCTTTGAACCGCAATCCTCAGATCTCAGCCTCCTGAGTAGCTAGGATTACAGGCGTGAGCCACCAGTGCCTGGCCATCCATCCATCCTTTGAAGACAGGAAGAACTCTTCTAGATCCTAGAACCAACCTAGGGGTTGGTTAAGAGCTTGGGGCTAGGTGCAAATGTAGCCTGAATCTGAGCTACTTTGCTCTCTCGCACCCTGGACATATGACTAGACCTGTACTGCCTCAGTTTCCTAATCTTTACACATACCTAATGATGCTTGGGGTGTCTGATGCTTGGTGTGGTGCGTGTGGGGTGCTGACACAGGAGTGTCTTCCTCCTGGGGCTCACACACTTCTGCACTTGGACGCAGCAGCCCAGGTAGTCTTGGAACGGGTGACCTGCTAGGGCCGGAGAGAAACTTCTGTCGGTTCTAGAACTCAAGACATTGGTGGCGTCAGAGGGAGACAGGATGCTTTATTGGTGGCTCATGCCGAGGAGGAACTGGGTCCTGACTTGCTGGGCGCAGATCTTCCTGTAGAGTCCCTCTGTCCTCTCGCCTCACTCTTCCGGCCTCAGTTTTCTCGATAGCACCCCCTTTTCAGTTAGCATACCCAGAGCCAACTGAGACGAGGCACGGAAAGCACCATCTAGCACAGGCTTATGCCACAAGGAGACAGCTGAGGAGTGGAAGCTTCTAGAAAGCTGTGATGAAGAAAGTGTGGTCCCTGCTCGGCAATATTGGGGTGCTTGCTCTTCTGAGTCACAACAGGGGGACTCCACATCCCCCACCTCCCCGGGGACCTAGCTCTCTGTCT